GGCCGATGTCCGATATTCAGTTTTAAGGCCGATACAGGCCGATACCGATAGGGGGCCGATTATATCGTGCATCCCTACAAAAAATGAACCAAAGTATTAAAAAAGGGTACAGGAAAGTACAGGAGACAAAATATGAATGCAAGAGGGAATGATACAAGAAAGAAAGTAAGAAAAACTGAAAGAAAGACGGACTCAAATAAGGTGGCAGAATTTCATAAAATCAAGAATTTAAAGAACTCTGTGGGAACCATTTGATTCATGTTCTTCTTACAAATTATTCACACTTTGATAGACAGGTTGTCAAAATGGTGACAGGTGGGGAGTGACTGGGGTAAAATGTATACAAGAGAAACAAGGGAACATATAGAAAATCTTAGCATCTGTCATTATAATCTGTATTTCTTAGTGGAACTAAGTGTGAATTGGTCAGGAATACAAATCGGTTTAACATGGAGTTAGCAGCAGAATACGCATCTTCAGCCAACTTATCGTGCTTACTCCATAACCGTTCCCAAAGGCAATAATTTCAAACCACCTTAGATGTGTAAATCACTAAAGGAGTGTGTTCTTTGGCCTATTGGTGCATCCATCCATCCTGCCTCATCACAGTTAAAGTTGCAACAATAACATATTATTGAGGGAATCCTAGAGTAATACTGCCCGGTTTATTCAGGGGGGAGTTCATTCAGTAGCAGGTTAGCTCCTTCTGCCGTTCTGAGTCCCTCCTGGGTCTCCTCCCAGTGGGATGTATAGTTGAAGTCTACACAGGGAGGAGCTGAGGAAGGCTGGTAGTTATCTGATGAGTTTACACCCAAGCTGTCTTTAATTAATCTCCAAGTTGGAGTTTAACCAATCTGCAGATGAAGCTCATTTCAACTTTGATCTAATACCTGCTTCCTTCCATATCTAACAAAGACAAGAAGGCCTTTTCTTTTTAAGTCCCACTCTTTAACCTCCATGTATGAAGGGTTCCTTTGAGCTGCCAGCTCAACTTACCTGGTGAGTTCTTCATGGAGGTTGTTTGGTTCTGAAGAGTAGAATTTGACTCTCATGTGAAGGCAGTATGGTGGACCAACTTTATTAAAACAGAGCAAAGAATACGCTTAGTTGAAGTCAGAGAGAAGTAACAAGACAAATATCTTTCTAGAATCAAAGCAAACTGAATGCTTCAGTAAAACTTACTTTTTACTTGCTTTTTGATACTTTTTGTGACATCGAGCCAATGCTGCAACAACAAACAGGAAACAGATTATAGGAACCATAACAAATAATAGAGTAAACAATGTTTAGCTGAAAAAAGAGGAGCTTCTAAGTATAGTCCACATATTTTCAGTAAAGATAAGTTCTAGGCACTGGAAAGGCTTTCACAAAAGGAGCATTTTGAAAACCATTTTGATCTGGATTTGGAATCCGTGAAACTTGGACACAACTGGGAATGCAGCCATCGCTCCCTGGTTATTCACAATGTACTGGTAGAAATGGTGAAACAGACCCTCAGCATTAAGATTAGGCCACATTTCGCAAATGGTCTCAGGATTGAAGCCCCGACTTTGACTCCTCCCCTGTGGTCAAACTACTCAATCTTTATCTCAGTGGACCATAAAACTTGGATTGTAAAGACATTTGGCTCGTCTATATAAACAGCTGGAAATCACAACTGAGTAAGTAGTTCTCCATTTTAGACCAGATGCTGTTTTCCTTACTACCACTGCCAGTCCAGTTTATGACAGTATTGAGTTTTGGTGATTCCTACTTTGCAGTTTCAACAGGAAAAAAATAAACCAGAGCCATCTGATCAGTTCTAGAATGGATAAAAAAGATTCAAACTATGCTTATGGAAATCTCCTGGCATCAAACTTTAGCCTTAAAAAAAACTTAAGGACTTGATCAAGCATTTTCTATCATTCCACACTCTAAAATAAGTAATGAAAATATGTTTGATTCATGGTCATATCTTATTGGGTCAAGATCAGTACCGAAAATGTGTATGTCAGAGCCTTTAACATCACATTTTTATTAAACTTACTGTTTAGCTGTCCTTCTATTACTGATAATGGGTGATGACTAGTAGGAACTCGGGTGCATTGCTGTCCCTAAGGGTAAGGTGTACACATTGAACTGTGTTTATTTGCTGTTGGAATCTACCTGAATTTGACCCCTAGTGGGGCAAATTTCCATGACAACTTGCTGAGCTAGTTGATTGTCTCCTTGAACTCCAGTCGGCCTCGGCAGATGGCCACTCACAGTGAGCCTGGCTCTGCTGGAGGTTTCTTCCAGTTAAAAGGGAGTTTTTCCTCTCCACTGTCGCTGCAAGCATGCTTAGTGTGAGGGATTGCATTCGAGTCAATGAGTCGATGCAATCAATAGGTTTTCCTTAGATAGAAAACTTTAAATCAATTAGCCTGGATGATCTGGTGAACTGTAAAGTGCCTTGAGATGACATGTGTTGTGAATTGGCGCTATAGAAATAAACTGAATTGAATTATGGCCAGATTGCTATTAAACTTGCTGATCATAGCTTCTCATGATAGAATTGATTCCCTAGTAGCTACCCAATGACTATTGCTGCTTTTCTCAATCATCTATCAAATGGGTTGAAAAGGGCAATTTCTGTAAAATGTTTAAAGAAATAATTAAAACCATAGGAATGAATGGTATTGTAGCAGATTACATTTTTAATATTCCAACTTTTTTTCTAAATTTGGTTTAGGTAAAACTGTATTTGTAGACTGTTAATGAAATGTGGTCAATAGCTGGAGAACTACTAAGCTTTGTAGGAAAAATAAACATTTTGATGGCACAAAAAAATATTTTCAAAAAAGGATTCCAAAAAGATGCTTGCACAAATACATAAAACGCTTTTAGCAAGATACCTGTGAATGAAAAAACTAAATGCAAAGCTGCTTCTATGGAAGGGGTCAGGAAGTATTGGCCAAGTGTTTTTGTTTATAACTTTGAATAAAATAAGAGGAACACATTCATTTTCTTTAAACTCGTTTAACAACAAATAAGCCTTAACCCTAGAATAAAAAAAGAAATAAAAATTCACTTATTTTTCAAGCCAGTTCATGGCTGGGAAAATACGGCTCAACAACTAAATGGAAAGTGAGCTGATATTTTGGTTGCTCTGGGGCTTTTAGAGGGACAGACGCAGAAGGAGATGGAGTCATGGTTTTGTGTAACCAAGTTAAGTGAAAACAGCATGAAAGACGCAGGCTAAGACTGATAACGGAGGAACTTGCAGAGCTTTCTAGTTTCCTCTCCCCCACATTCCTCATTACATCCCTCCCTCTCCCACACTCCCTCAACTTAAACATCCTCTCTCCACCCTTATCCTGCATTCATCTCTCCTTCCACCACCTCACTGGGCTTTCTAGAGTTTCTGTGGAAGGAACAGGGTCACAGACATAAAACAGTTTGTGTAACGGGCAGCGTAACGGCCAGCCATGACAAATCTCTCTTAACCAATCCCCTTAAACCATTCACTGAGAGGGAAGAGGATTAAACTGTTGTACAGATGAGCAAATGATTTGGAAAGAAATCAAATGTCTGACTAAGAAACGCTGCAGTAACTGGCAAAGGTGACATTAATTGTTAACATGTATTGGATATTTCCCACCCCTCTAACCAAAATAATATACACATGCCTTCGTTGCTTCACAAATCAAGTTATATAAAATATAGCTGATGAATGACAGTTCTTACCGGAACCTGTGCCGAGTCCATGAAGCGTAGCCCAAAATAGTCTTTCTCTACTATGTCCAAATGGTACATGATCTGTTCGAATAGTTCTTCACCTTTGGCTTTTTTCTGATGGGAAAAAACACACACAAAAAAAAAACATTTCAGCACCCCAATGCTCAGTCATGTAAAGATAAACTATAGATTGATATTCTAATGTAAAACATATATCAAATGTACCAAAATGCACCAGGAAGCCCGAAAAGATAAAAACCTTGTTAAAGAACTCTTTCAAATTAGATTGTTTTGGTAGAAATAGTTGCAAATAAATTTAAATAGTTATTTTCAGGGTTTTTTTGTCTCAGGAGACCTTTTCTTGAGGGACTGTAAATTTCTTTAAAAGACGAGAAAACCTCTCAGAATCAGGTGTTGGCCTGTCTGATCGGCTCGTACCAGTTACAGCCTGTCTTCAGCTTGGAACTGGGAAATCTCTTCTCAAACGCTCTCAGTCACATGCACCGACTTAAAACGCATCTGAATACTTTACTGAGAATGCACATTTCCCCTTTACATTGGCATGTTTTTGTATTTATAAGCTTTAATTCCAATATTTATTACTTTTAGCAGATTTCTAACTTAAATATCACAAGAGAACAGCATGAAAAACAAAATTATTGCAGCCTTTATTACAGCCAATAAAACCGTTCTAAAATACCAAAATGAATGGTTTGGTTATAAATCACCTTGTATTACTCATTCTTCGCAGGGAAATACAGAATAACAAGCATGTAAGATAAAATATGTGTGTGATTTACACTCTTCTGACATTACAGATTAGATTCACCTGTGTTACTTAATCTTAGTATAAATCTAGCTGTTATGTGAGAGCCCTAGAAGATGCAGAAGAGCACATTGGTGAACTTACAATAGCAAAAAATGAATGGCAAGAAATAATTTAAAATAATAAATGATAATCAGTAAAATGATCTGTCTGGCACAAGCCAAGTAAGGGACACACCATACATATTAGGGATGGAACGATTTATGAAAACCGTCCGAACCGTTCGGTTCGACTGTCTCGGTTCCATTCGCGTGTGTTTCGTTCAGTTCATGCGCTGCTCCTTTTTCTCATAGGCAAGAAGAAGAAGAAGCGAAGCAGCGTAGCCGGGTGTAGAAGAAAAAATCAGTTGTTGTGGAGAATTGTGTGGGTATGGCGAGCGGGAAAGAACAGGAGTTGGAAGACGCGCAAGCAGCACTTTATAGGTCTGCTGTATGGGACCGCTTTGCATTTAGAGTGACCTACGATGACGGCGGAAAGAAAGTTGTGGATAAAAGTGCAACAGTGTGCAAGCATTGTGCAACACGTTTTGTTTAAGCTAACAGCAACATGACCAACATGTCAGGCTAACCCCGAAATCCCGCATACTCTGTCAGCGCTGTGCTCCAGACCGACTGCACAAAGCAAAGCATAGAGCCTCCGCTGTGGCTCCCGTCCGCTCCACTCTGAGTTCCTTGGAGATTGTAGAGGGCATGCGCGAGATGATTAAATTCAAAGCAGCAAAACACGCGGAAATGATCCAGGGTTTCCGCAGATCATAAAAAATACAATTACAATACAATACAATTACAATTCATTAATTTTTTGGGATTTTTTCATTAATTTTTATGGGCTTTCGGTGTAACAATCAACATATCCCGAACCGAACCGAAAACCGTGACCACGAAACCGTGAACCGAACCGAACCGTAGATTTTGTGTACCGTTCCACCCCTAATACATATGGATCATTATCGCCCCCAACTAGATGAGATCAAAATCAAACTGACTTTAAAGCATGGTGGTGACAGCATCATTCTGTGTGCAGGGATTCCTTATCAGGAAATAGGGAGCATAATTGGTTGAGATTGAAATCACCTGTGCGACTTAAAGTGATACAAAACTTAAACCCAACTGAGAACCTAAGATTATTCATGTTTACAGACGTTATCTATTTGGTCTAACTAAATTTTAGCTATTTTACAAAGAGGAAAAAAAGACTGAGCCCAAACTAAAAAGAAAAGAAGCAAAGCAAGACAAACTTAATGAAGTAGGTGAAAAAGATTTGAGCAGAACTCTCCCCCAAAGACTTTTCAGCCAGCTCAGGGGGGCTGGCCCCATGCTAGCTGGCATAGTTACCAAGGCATAGCGCACCCCTGCAGCACCCATGGAGGAACAGTACAAAGGACTTATTGTGTGTTTGTGTTGCACCCAAGGTTCTGTTAAAGAGCTTGCACTGCTGTTTACTTTATGGTACGCTTTCTTCCTGTCTCTGAGGAGACAACTTTCTCTCTTAGACACCATGTCAAGTATTCCACTCATGAACAAAGCAACTGTAAATCACTGGTCCAAGAATCCTTTTGGTGCAGCCATGCATTCATCTGCAAAGAGCACAAACAGCAGAACAAGAAGCAATGGCACACTGGGAGACAGAAGAATGTACTTCTCTGGGTAGAATCATACAACTCCACCCTTGAATTATTTATTGGGAGACAGTTAAAGCGTTGAAGATCAACTTTTGCTCCACAAATCAAGAGAGTAAAAGAAATAAAGCAGGGGTGAAAGGGTAAGAGGGGCAGTAAACTATGCATGAGATAACAGACACATACTGTAGAGTAATGCAAGCAAAACTTTTTGAGTCTTTTTAAAAAAACTTTATAATGGGTACTGAAAGGTTTTGGGGTTTTTTTTAAGAAAAAAAATGCTGTTAAAGTTTACAGATGAATTATCGGACATATGCTAACAAACAGGGAGGAGGCTACAAGGGACAAAATGAAATAGATAATTAAGTCATGATGAAAAAGATGAAAATTTAACATTAAATTGTTAAATGTACCATTTGTTTAGTAGATATAACATTAAACATTTCAACATTTCCATTAAATAATGAAATATAAATAACATTTAATGATTTTTCAGATATGAAGTAACAATCCCTGCTATGGGACAATAAAAGGCATTACATTGCAGCAAGATGGTGGTATAGAGGCTAGAGTTTATGGTTAATAAATCTAAATAATTTCCCAAAGTTATTGGCAATAATTCTTAATTTTCCAGCCAAGAGATTAAACTTAGTGATAGAAAACATGGAAGAAGTTGTCTTGACATGCTGTGTGAAGCAGCCAATCAAATATCAGGGGAGCCGCCCGATTCCCCCCTCTTGAATTTGATGGGTAAAGCTAACAGATTGAACTACTTCAAGGCACTGCTGAATGGGAGCCCTGAAACCAATAAAATATAAATATGACAAACAAACTGTAAAAAAAAATCTATATTCATTTGAAATAAATCCATTAAAAAAAAAAAGACTTAATTATTAAATGAGATATTCATTCATCTATTCAACTGTTTATTTAAAAGTAATACATATTGGTTAATCACTAGGACATTTATTTAATCCAATATGCCAATTTATCCATTTTCTGGTATATTTATCAATTTGAGTTTCTGCATTTTCAACATCCATATGTAACAAGTGCAAGGCTGCAAAACTGCAGTCCACAAATGGTAAAAAATAAGTACAGCTCTTTAAAATCTATGGCAAAGGTTTCCAGCTGCAGTTGTCAAAAACCACTGCCTGCAACATTTCAATGCATCCCTGGTTCCACTGCACCAGTGCCTAGTTTCCAGCCACTAGATTTTAATGTGTTGGAGTGGGGTGCAGACCAATAGATCTTAAAGACTCTATTGGAAATCAGAAGCAGGCTTCTGTATCGCTGAATGCAATAGAACTGCACAGAAAAGACCAAAAGTTTCAAAAAGAGGTCATCAACGCAAAGCAGAAAACAACAATTAGGACCCAGAAGTAGAACATCAAATCTAATTTTCTGTACACTGTACCACTACATTTACAATAAATAGAAATCTAAATCGGGCTCTACTTTTTTACGACTGTTGATAAATGCTTTTCCTGTGTAATTTAATCCCACCCTGGAAAATAACAGGCATACGTTTATCAGTCTGACTGCTATCCAACCTGAAACTTGATAAGAAACCACACCCTGAAATGATGCAACTCGACTATAAGACCCTAACGAACAAAGAAAATAAATATTATTACAGCAATATTGACCAATTTATACTGTGCAATGTGCCATCATTAAATATATATTAAAAAAGGACTTAGACAAAAACTCCTTGGAGTCCATTTTAGTGCCAGCTCTACCAACTCACGGTCCTACAACCTTCCTTTGAATTACAACTTAGTTTTCAGAGAAACTAAACATAAGTGTAGAAGAAGCGAGCAGTTTAAACAGCACTGAGGTTTAAGGGGTTAAAATATTCTGTTTCTTTGCATTGACACTAAACTTTGTTTTATTCCCACTGTTTTGCTTCTATTCCATCATCTAAAAACCAGCTGCCTAAAATCCCTGTAGATGAAAATCCCAGGTAAATCTTAAGTACAACCACATAATTACAGTACATCGTGCAATGAAGTATTTGTGTTACAAAACCTTCACCAGACCTGCTGAGTACGCTTGACACTCGACTGTGTGACATTAGGTTTTATTTATTTCCATACAGAGTGGGTACTATATCTGTTTATTTATGTTAATCTGACCGTAGAGCTATTTATGAGTAGTCATAATTGCGGCTAGTCAACTGCATCTAAATAGTTCACATAATGTAAAAAATAAATAAATAAATAGTACTTATAATAAGCTTCTTAGATGTCTTCAAACTTGGAAACTAAGTCCAGTGCATTGTTTTACATTTTTAAATTTTCTTTTTTTTTTTTTCAATAAACCTAACCTAAGTCTCCAAAGCAGTTGCAACTGTAAAAAGACTTTGAAAGAAGTCCTTCACAAACAGGACCTGCTAAAGAAAAAACTCAGAGGACAACTACAAAAAGCCTTACAGTGACATTTAATAATGGCAAACTAAGCAGTATTACGGTTTATAAAAAACTCCATCTACTTGAATAGCAAAATTATGTTTATAATAAATTAGCTAAATTGAAAAGTTTCCTTTTAATCAAAATTTTACTGGTTAGGAAATATACTGCAGAAGTGTGAATAATAGTAGTCAACAGCTTATGTTTACCAGTGTTTGTTTTATTTGGTGAATACCAACCTCCATTTTTTAGTTTTCTT